GTTTGTGTGTGTGTGTGCGTGTGTGTGCGCGTGTGTGAGTGTGTGTGTGTGCGTGTGTGTGTGCGCGTGTGTGTGTCTGTGAGAGAGAGTGTGTGTGTGAGTTTGTGCGCAGTGTCTGTGAGAGAGTGTGTGTGTGTGTGCTGTTACCTGTGTACTCCTGTGGGCTCATGGGAGTGTTCATGACTGCATTAAAATGGCTCAGCCAATCTTTTTGCTCCGTATCTGTTTCGCAGATGAACAGGAAGCTGCGTTCGGGCGTTTCTATGGTGATGCCGTACTGCCACGTCCCGTTGTAGTGGGTTCCGGCGGGGAGTCCGATCGTAACGCGGTATCCGTGATCTCGGTGCCCCAGGAACACCTCGCCTCTAGCAAACGCGTCCTGCCAGACACACAGAAGAAACTCTGCTTTCAGATTCAACAGCTTCTCTTTCCTCATTCAAGCTGAAGCTGCATTTGAACGGTCTGAACTGATAGACATTTATCTTTGTGCTACATTAGTATCTTCTCTCATAACTTAGTACTGTGATTTAACTTTCAGAACAGTTCTAGATGTCTGTTGTACTGTATTTACTATAAACCATTGCTTTAGCAAGAAGGGATGAGTTATTTCTTATGGAAATGGACATCATGACAGAAATGTGCTGTATTGTGTATAATTTTCTCATTTCTTAATGCAATTTCTTCATTCAATGTTAATTATTTCATATAAATTGAGTAATTGTCTCAAAACTTATCAATGAGTTTTTTTCTTAATCATCAGCCAGATTTCAGATTTAAATGAATGTAAAAAAGAAAGTGTGTATTTAAGGTTTTTAACTTTAATCATGTTTTGACATGAGTCCAAATATTGCAAACAGTCTCTTAATTAATATGGTCATAAAAAGGGCATGCATTTTATTAATTTCAAAATAATTAAATTATATAACATTTATTAATTTACTCTACTGCAATTTTGTTTGTATTCCTAAGTTCATTTATTCTTTTTTTAAATAGTACACTATATACTATACCAATTTAAAATATTTTTTGTTACTTAGATTGTAAGTTTGTATTGTGTTTTATTATTTATTTATTTATTTTAATCTAATTATTTATATTTTATTTATTATTTACAATCAGATAAAGGATCCGCACTCGCTTTATGTTCTTAATAAATTATAGTTTATTTTTATTTTGCAAGAAAGCAAACAACAATCAGGCGTTTCAGCAGCAAGCCTTCTTCGGGGAATCATATAATAATATAATATAATCCTATAATAATAATACACTGCGCACAAGAATATTTTAAAAAGTGAAGTCCAATTTTGTGAAGTCCAAAATTGTATCTAATAAATTTATTATTTACTTTAATTATTTATTTGTTTGTTTTAATCCGATTTTTTTTTTGTCATCAGCTGGTGTGTGGAAGGTTTAACGTACATTAATTGTTGGTTTCCAATCAGCTTTGCCAATTAATCTACTAATATTTATAATGCTATCTTGTCCATAAGCACTTAAATACAGGAACAGCTGATCTCAGAGCAGGTACTAACATCAATCATCAACACCTGATGACTTTTCCCTCTCACTGAACCCGTCTTACCGTAATCAAACCAGAAAGTCACTTAATCTGAGAGTCTCATTCTAGAGTTACAGCAGAGACACGAGACGTCGAGAGACGTCTTACCAGAGGATCTTTGAAGTACATGAGCCTCCGGTGATCCAGCGTGAACCAGCGCCTCTTAAAGCCTTCTGTTTGCTGCAGAAACAAACCAGCTCAATGACCATCAAAACAGACCTTGTCTTATTCATTACTGCTATTATTTACAGTATGTATTTGGTATAAGAAGCAGGATAAAGCTGGTCATTATCAGAATATAAACCCGGCAGGAGGATCAGAAGCAGATGCAGGTTAATAAAATGAACGCTCTTACATACGATACAACAATCTAAACTCGTCTTGATGAATAAAATCCAGGCCAGTCCTACATTATTTCCTGCTATTCTGTTTCATTTAGAAATCACACAGTGCATTGTGAATGTTGTTATATACATTGTATCAATGCATCATAAACGTTCTATTTTTTCAGATGTGTGTCTCACCCGCGGGCCGGTTTTCTCCATGTATCCCTCTTTCAGAAAGCTGCGTGTCAGTTTGGGCTTCAGCTGAGCAGAAAGAGAAGCTGTGAGTGACGTCGCTCGATCAGACTCGCGATCAGGAAGCGAAACGAAGGACTCACCTCAGCGTCCGTGGCTCCAGGGAATGCCACCTTCAGATAGTGCAGCTGCGCCGCCCGGATGCAGTTAAACCACACCACGATCTCCTGAGAGAGACAGAGAGACAGAGACGTGTGTGTGTGTGTGCATGAGCGTGTGTGTGTGTGTGCATGAGCGTGTGTGTGTGTGTGCATGAGCGTGTGTGTGTGTGTGCATGAGCGTGTGTGTGTGTGTGCATGAGTGTGTGGGTGTGTGTGAGTGTGAGTGTGAGTGTGTGTGTGTATGTGTGTGTGAGTGCGAGTGCGTGTGCGTGTGCGTGTGCGTGTGTGAGTGCGTGTGCGTGTGCGTGTGCGTGTGTGTGTGTGTGTGTGTGTATGAGTGTGTGTGTGTGAGTGCGAGCGTGT